TGGGTGGGGGGTGGGGGGGCGTCCCCTACCAATCAATCAATCAATCAATCAATCAATCAATCAATCAAAAAAGAATTTTTCACTTTTTCTTTTTTCTTTTTTGATTGATTGATTGATTGATTGGTAGGGGATGGGTTGCCCCCCCACCCAATCTCTCTCACACACACACACACACACACACACACACACACACACACACACACACACACATGAACACACACATTTTTTCTTTTTCTTTTTTGATTGATTGATTGATTGATTGATTGATTGATTGGTAGGGGATGGGTCGCCCCCCCCCCCCCCACCCAATCTCACACACACACACACACACACACACACACACACACACACACACATGAACACACACACACATGAACACACACACAGACACACACACACACACACACAGACACAGAGGGTAGTTTTTTTACTTTTTTTTATTCCACGGGTGTCCCGCCATGTGTCCGAGCCCCATTGCGATCGACCCATTGATCGGAATTCAACGGGAAGCCCCCGTTATACCGTTCAACGGGGATTCAACTCGGGCCTCATGGCCATTCAACGGGTACAACGGAGTTGAATAAATCCCGTTGCGAGTTGAATGGACACACAGCCCAGGCCCAATTTCAGATAATACTCGCCTGGGCCTCGTGCAATTTAGGCACGTTCAGGCAGCCACCCAGCCTGCAAGTGTTCGCCTCATTCTCATTGGCTTGCGGTGCACGTGTGACGACAATGCAGCATTCTCATTGGCCCGCGGCCAGTCCGTGATGTGTTGGCCTCACACAACATTTGCCCAGGGCGCAACCACTTGAGCCCTGGGCTCAACTGTACAGTGTAGCCTTTTCTTCTGGAAGGAGCCTGAAGTCTCACGTTGCTCTGTAACCAATTGTCAGATATCCCACATATGAAAAGTGTTGAAAGTAGGCCTCCCATGGATATTCAGGCCCACCTTCACTTAGGGCGGGCACAAGGTTGCTGGTGGGCTGGAGCCCAGAACACTTGCATGTCTGATAAGGGCCCCGCGAGGGCTCATTCTGCACACTGTCCTCTTATCTCTTTTATGTCGAAGATGATTCCTCTGGCCCCGTACTGCAGCAAGACAGTGCACCAACACTCTGCAATCTTCTCTTTTGCACGACCACAAACACTGTTGCAATCGAGAGGACTGTCCCTCCGTTCTTGACTGCAGGCACCCTCTGCATCTGGACACTTTATGTCCATTTTGCGGCCATGGGCGCTATACTGAATGGATGGTCTTTTGTGGTGACCGTTCTTCCTTCATTTTGGCCTGCAATCGACATGGCATTTGTCGGGGGTGTATCGTGGGCATGCTCAATGCCAGCCGTTGTGGCAACTGTTGTACCGAGAATGCTCAGCTAGGTCTTCCATGTGTTCATCCACCTCATCCTTACAATGTATGTCCTTCTGTCGTCAAGGACAGACTCATTCTTGAGCCTTTGCTTATCCTCTTTTGCCTTCATCTTCACTCCACACTCCGTACTTTCCCTTACTTTCCCTTTATCATTCTTTGTTTGTCTTCTCTCTCTCTCTCTCTTCCCTGTGTTTATCCCCTCCCCCTTCACTTTGCCTCTTTCTCACAGCGTACAAGTGGGCCGTTATGGCACACGGGGATGGGGCAGCTCGCGCTCAACTTCATCAATGTGGCGAGCCTTGTACGTGAGAGGCACAATGGAGGGGGAGTTAAAAGAAGAATGAGAAATTGAATGGTTTCAATGTGCCCTTGTTTTTTGTATTTAATCCTTTGTTTCGCAAAGTGTGATCTTTTAGTTCATAGTTATGTGACAATATATTTAGGCAGGGTTGCATACCCGCCGGCCGCCTACCCTGACTGCCAGCCGTTTCGCAGCTAGCCCGGGCTGGTCGGCTATCACCATCCCGAGCAAACGTGGACTGGTACTGCTTGGTGTTGGGTCCTCTACTGTGTGTAACAACCTGAGAAGGATATGGATTGGCTGAGCCGAGCTATACAGCAGTGTTGCACAACCGATGGCCATTGGCCCTCTGACCAGTAGATGCCAAGGCTTGCACATGCCCTCTGCAAGTCCAACATTATAAAAGTGAAGCTGATGTGCATGGCAACAGGGAGGAGGGACGTGTTGTTGTCACAATCGTCATCATGAAAGGTGCTGTCTCTCTGGTTTCGTGTTCTTCTGAGGTCAAATGGTACCGTCTTCACCCGAATAGAACACCCGGTCATTGTAGCTGTATTTTGGTGCAACTTTCAGTCTAGATTCAGTGATAATGACCGAGTGTTCTAATCGGGTGAAGACGGTAGGGTGATTTTTTTTTGCATGGTAAACTGAAATCATGGTAATCATAATAATCAGAATCAGAATCAGAATCATCACCGTCACCATTGACATTGCTGTTGTCTTAGTTATCATCGTCCTTGTTCTTCTTGTTCTTCATGTTCTTCTAGTTCTTCCTGTTCTTCTTGTTTTTCTCCGTCATTGTCATTCTTCTTGTTCTTCTTGGTTGTCATCGCCTTCTGCTGCTTCTTCTTTGTCGTCATCATCCCTCTGCTTCTTCTTCTTCTTGGTCATCATCGTCCTTCTCCTTCTCCTTCTTCTTCCTCTTCTTCATCTTCTTGTTCCTTTTCGCCTTCCTGTCCCTTCCTCTCCCTCTTCTCCCTTCTTCACCATCTTCTTTCTTGTCGTGGTTGCTGTCTTCTTCCTCTCTTCCCAAGGTCATCATATGAGTATCATCATTACAGCAACCTCAAAATCCCAGAACTGGCATTTCTGGGCGCTGAGGGGTCTCGTCGTTCTTCTTGTTCTTCGTCACCTTCGCCTTCTTCGCCTTCACCTTTGCCTTCTTCGCCTTCGCCGCCTTCGCCTTCGCCTTCGCCTTCGCCTTCGCCGCCTTTTTCGCCTTCGCCTTCGCCTTSGCCTTSGCCTTCGCCTTCTTCGCCTTCACCTTCGCCACCTTCGCCTTCGCCGCCTTCGCCTTCGCCTTCGCCGCCTTTTTCGCCTTCGCCTTTGCTGCCTTCTTCGCCTTCCTGGCCTTCTTCACCTTCCTCGCCTTCGCCTTCTCCTTTGCCTCCTTCTTCGCGGCCATCGCCTTCGCCTTCACCGCCTTTGCCTTCGCCTTTGCCGCCGACTCCTTCGCCTTCGCCTTCGCCGCCTTTGCCTTCATCTTCGCCTTCTTCGCCTCCTCCGCCTTCGCCTCCTTCTTCACCTTCGCCTTCTTCGCCGCCTCTGCCTTCGCCTCCTTCTTCTTCGCCTTCTTCGCCTTTGCCTTCGCCTTCGCCTTCGCCGTCGAGTTCTTCGCCGTCGCCTCCTTCGTCGCCTTCTTCGCTCTCGCCTTCTTCGCCATTGCCTCCTTCGCCACCTACTTCACCTTCTTCTTCGCCGCCTTCTTTGCCTTTGCCTTCACCCTCTTCGCCTTTGCCTTCGCCTTCTTTGCCTTTGCCTTCGCCGTCGCCTTCTTCGCCGTCGCCTTCTTCGCCGTCACCTTCTTTGCCGTCGCCTTCTTCGACGTCGCCTCCTTCGTCGCCTTCTTTGTCGTCGCCTCCTTCGCCGTCGCCTCCTTCTTCGCCTTCTTCTTCGCCTTCTTCGCCTTCTTCTTCGCCTTCTTGTTCGCCTTCGCCTTCGCCGCCTTCTTCTTCGCCTTCTTCTTCGCCTTCTTCTTCGCCTTCTTCTTCTCCGTCCTGTCTCTTCCTCCCCCTCTTCGCCCTTCTTCATCATCTTCTTTCTTGTCGTGGTTGTTTTCTTCTTCCTCTCTTCTCAGGGTCATCATACGAGTTTCATCATTACTGCCACCTCACAGATCTTGTTCATAATATGCTTGTTCGATGCCGTAACTGAGTTCTTCTCTGTTGTCTTTTTTTTTTTTTTTTTTTTTTTTTCCCCTGCAGGGCACGACGACGTCGACTGCATTGCCAAACAAGTCGTGATTGCTCTATTCGCACTCTGTGTACCATGCCACGGTAGATCAGTAGAGGAAGGGAGGGAAAAGTTATGCTGTTGGTTGCGACTCCCAAAACGCTGTGTGCCTAGAATGGAGGCTGGCCCAACAATATATATCCTACCTGTATCCGGGATCGTCCGATAGATCGGGCTTCCGATTGATTGCTTCATTTCACTGGAGAATTGACTGTCAGCGTGCCTTCCCTGTAATCCCTCAGAGTCTCCTCTGCGGAGGCCTGTCAGCTAAACATTAATGCAAGGAAAACAGAGATCAGCAAATGACGTAGCCCTGAACCCCGTTATGTGGCTCTGAAGTCTTGTTGTTCAGACTGGTGAAAGCATCTTGAAACCTGGGGGGTGGTGGGAATTGAACTTAAATTGTTTCGCTTTGTAATTTATTGGTGGTGGTGTTTGCTCTTAATCTGCAGCCGACATAATGTGGAGTGTCCTTCAGACCTGTTTAACAGTGTGATCGGCGGGTTGGCGGCATCTGGGGCTACCTGTGCCGTTGTTCACCAGTGGGCAGCTGCGCTCATTGGCATTGTCTCTGGAGTCGTTTACATGCTTGGTGTCACTGCAATTATAAGGTCTGCAATTTTCTTGGCAGATTCATCTGAAATTGATCTTCCACACTCTGTGTTTTGTCTTGAAGAATATCTTCATCTGCCCCCACCATTCCTTTTCCCTCTCTTCCTCCTCATTATCATTATCATCAGCATCATCATAATCCTCTGCATGCCTGCCCATGTGTGGTCTTAAGTATGGGTGACACATGCTACGCAGAATAACAAGATATTGGGCAAGCTGTGTTAGGAATCTAGTTGGAAACAAGGCTGGATATGTTTGTATTCAAAAGATATAAGGACAAAGTACTCGATTGTCAAGCACATGTGCATGCATGTGAGTACAAGGCCTAGTTTCTTCTTATGGTCTTAGGCGGTAGTCAGTAATGTCATATATGATAATTATGGACTGTTATTGGCGTCCACTTATGACATACTGCAAAATAACACCTGCACCTCTTTGCATATACCATGTGGCAAGAGACCCCACAACTCTTGTTTCCGGCGTAACCGCGACATTGCTAAACCACAAACAGAGACACACACTCGCAAAGTTGGGGAACGACTTCATCGCTCCCAATACCAGTGAGCCAGGAATAACAGGTATCAAGTCTGGTGTCAACAATGTGGTGATGATTCTTACAGTGCTGCACGTCAACGACTGGACCTGACACACACTGTGCTACACGTGCAGCATTTGCACGACTGGCAGCCACCACTAGCAGCCACCTTGGCTACAACTGTGGCTGATCAGCTCCTGCTCTTTGCATCTGACTCCTCCACTTCACTTCAGTTTGATTGCTCCCAAAGCTGGGGAACGACGTTGCTCCCAATACCAGTGAGCCAGGAATAGCAGGTATCAAGTCTGGTGTCGACAATGTGGTGATGATTCTTATAGTGCTGCACGCCAGCGACTGGACCTGACACACACTGTGCTACACACGCAGCATTTGCACAACTAGCACTAGCAGCCACCTTGGCTACAACTGTGGCTGATCAGCTTCTGCTCTCTGCGTCTGACGCCTCCACTTCACTTCAGTATGGTTGCTCCCAACCTCCTCCCAATGACGATGATGCGCCCTCTGACCGCTTGATGGAAGCCCTGGTTGGTGATGATCCGTCTCTGAAACGCTTGCCAGAACCAATGTAGTTATCAGGACCAGGAGTGCCTGGCACAGACTGTCAAGACTGGAATGAGCCCCCCCCCCCTTGCCATGCAATCTGTGGAGCCAAACGACCTAATTGAGCTACAGTGAGGCCACTGTTCATACGATGCCATTAAGGCATGTCTCCTCACTTACAATTGCAACCCCTATACTGTTTCTGGCTTCGCAGTGGTTGCTGCCTAGATAAAAGTGGAGCACTGTACTGTTTGCCCAGAGTAATGTGACTGGGACGCATATGGAACTGCTGTCTATGGCATTTATGGGAAGACAATTCAACTCCAGCCGACTCCATGGAAGTACGTGCTTGGCATTGGCCCAAGTATTTGTGTGCACATCCTGCATCGCCCGGGTTGCTTCAGTGCTATCACCTTCGTGAATAAAACATGGGCCCTGTGAGATAATTGCAAAAGGTTGCACTCGATGCATCATATTACCCTTCACTGTCAACGAGTGGCGGAGTCCCTCTCTGTCTGGCTCGTTAATCGGGAACTGCATCCGGTTGCGCTGTCGCAAGGTCTGGTGTTTCCGGTGAGCAATTTGGCAGACCCTCCCCACTCCCCTGTACCTGGCCAGGCTGTGGCACTTTCCTGCGCAGATCAGTCTGATTCTGCCTCTGGCGGTGAGGTGGCCCTTTCAGAGGACCACTGGTGCATCATGCCATTGTGTGGACGTGGAGGCACAGTCCTGCTAGCATGTGCACATCATAATCTCTGCTCGGATCACTACAAAGGTATGGATAATGCCAGCCACTTCCATGAGAACGGCCACCCACCTTTCTCTTGTATTCACCCCGTGCAACTACTTATCAGTTGCCCTATATGCCACTGTCGCATTGGGATGCTATGCTTGAATAACATTTTCCGGTGAGCAATTTGGCAGACCCTCCCCACTCCCCTGTACCTGGCCAGGCTGTGGCACTTTCCTGCGCAGATGCATGTGCACATCATAATCTCTGCTCGGATCACTACAAAGGTATGGATAATGCCAGCCACTTCCATGAGAACGGCCACCCACCTTTCTCTTGTATTCACCCCGTGCAACTACTTATCAGTTGCCCTATATGCCACTGTCACATTGGGATGCTATGCTTGAATAACGTTAAACCACCACTCCAACGGCCGCTGCACTGTTCAGTTTTCTTGTCTACAAGTACCGGGCCACAATCTACAGTGCCCAGACCGGTTACCACAATTACGTTTCCTCAGGGCGGTACTGTATTCGATCTTAGGCTTGGGGAAATTCAACTTTTGGTTTGTCAAAATAGGTCCAGGAGATGGCTATCCTGGGTGGAAAAAGGGGTGTGGCAGGTGAAACACATTTGGGCAGAAGATTGAAGACAATGGTTAACCGAACAGGAGCTCCGAAATGAATTAAAAGGCTGCCACGCCCTCACAGAAAATCTAACACAGATTCAGAAGAGCATCCCAACACAGTGGCTCTCCCTCTTAAGGGAGGACTTCTCGTGGAAGTCCGGGGACTGGGGCATGCTCATTTCCCAAACCCAGCCTCGCAGAGCTTACCGATTGGTTTCTCGGACCAATGCACCCAGCTACCCGTCCGGATTCTTCTCCTACCCAATCACTAATCGCAACCTACAAGAGCTGGAAGTTGTGAACAACGAACCCCAATGTGACATGCGAGAATCCTTCTGACTGATGAAAGTGAGGGTCACAAAAGCCAAACCCTGGATAATCTTCCAACCTGATCTCTGCATCTCAGACCTCGAATTCATCCCGAAAGAGTGGATCTGGAAACAGGGGAAATCTGGGAGAACGAGAACGATATTCGAATACGATGTAAAATTCGGTTATGATTTAGGATTACAAACTACAGACCCGGATCCCAGACTCAAAGAAAAATGGAGGGAGATCCTGAACCTAGGAAGTACTGACCCCGTTTCCATCCCCTGGACGCAGTACCTGTCCATCAAACCCGTTATGTGACGAGCGCGGGGCTGAGGGAGAGCCAAGGGAGAGGAGAGAGAGATGGAGAGAGTGAGAGCACACACACACACCTCACTCGACACGACTGAGGGTCGGACACAGACACAGTGGCAAGGGCATAAAGTCGAAGTCTTGGATTCAGAATGCCGAAACAGCAAGTCACACTGAGTACCAGTACAGCAGCAGAAAACTGGTACGAGACTGGGTCCCCGTACTGTACGGGGAGCCGGTATAAGTACCGGTGACACGTACGGTACCAGGGACATTTCCGCAAAAGCCCCGAGGGCAGAACTGCATTTGAAAGTAGCGCCCGAATTGCAGCATTTGAAAGTAGCGCCCGAATTGCAGCATGGCGCCAGTTGTCCAAAATCCGACGGTACCAAAGGAGGGGTTTGGAAAAAAAAGGGTGCCAGGCCAAAAACGGGATGCAGCAGAAACAGCAAAAAGACAGACCAGGGATCGAGCCCTGGCGGAGTCTGTAACACTATCCCCTGCCTCTGAAAGGCAACGTCCCGGCTGCCAAAAAGCCAAGGAAACAAAAGGAGCTGTGAAGGACAGGACGGGGCCGAGCACTGGTAGGAGAAGGAGAAGGGGAGTGATGCAAGTCACAGGGTATTCTGTCTGGTGTTCTGCACAGGTGAAGGTATGGTGTAACTGGGTGGGTCTATATGGTAGCTAAGCAATGTTCAGGGAACAGCGGATTTCTATCGATGTCCTACTGGGTAGGGGAAACAATGCTCAGGAAAACAGGGAATTTCTATTGATGTTCTAGTGGGTAAGGGAAACAATGGTCAGGGGAACAGGGAATTTCTATTGATGTTCTAGTGGGTAAGGGGAACAATGGTCAGGGAAACAGGGATCTGCTAATGATGTTCTAGAGGGTTATCAAAGTCAGGAAAAAAAATAAAAAAGAAAATGTTTGTTCACGAGGCAAGGGCTGGTGTGTACGAAGGAGTCGGAAGCAGAATCTCATGTAGGAACAAAGTGTCCAAGTGTCTTGAAAGGGGATCTGCAGCGGTCTTGATCAGGTCTTGCAGTAGGTGGTAGGAGCGGTCTTCAGCGGCTGCGACAGGTAGAAGTCCAAGAAGCGTAACAGTAGTTCAAATGTCCAAAGTCCAAGTGCTAGGGTGCGTCCGGTACACGAACTGCAATGAGGTCTGATCTGGAAGCAAGGAAGTCGCAGACTGATGCAAAGATCCATGTCACAAGTTGCTGCTCTAGTAAGTCCGCGAGTCGGGATGTCGGCCGATGAAACAGCATGGTGGCCAAACCAGCTGCATAATCTTCATGAACAGTGAGGCAGCAGGCCATCGTCCTCGAGCGCTTGCCATTAGATCCTTTATCGTCGGTGTCGCGCAGGTTCATAAGCATTGGACAAGAGAGACAAGGTGTGGAGAGGACAAATGGGACAAGGCTAGGCGAGGGCAAGGGCAAATCAGACATCAGGAATGAAGGTCAAGGGGAGGGTGGACTGGGTTGAAGGGTGTCTGTAGAGTGGGGTTGCGAGGTTGTAGCAAGGTTTATACAGGGGTTTTGGGTTGTAGTCATGTGGGTGTCTAAGACATAGGAATAGCACGATCATAGGCGTGGACAACTTTCATGGCATTCTTGAGATTCGAGAGAGGTTCCCATGTAGATTCTTCGTCGGGGTTCAGTGATTGGTTCCGGGTGGTTAGATACCTGAGTAGTCCGTCGATCTATGATTGCTTCAACAACGAATTCAGGGCCTATGGGTAACATGATAGGTGGAGGTCTAGGATACGGGCGGTCAGCGAATTGGGGTGGGGATTCATGATATTCTTTCAAGTATTCGACGTGGAAGACCGGGTGGACGCGGCTTATGTCGGGGGGGAGTTGGAGTTTGTAGTTAACCTCGGATGTTTTTTCAATGATGGGGAAGGGTCTGAGCCATTTG